AATTCAATGGTAAACTTCAGCTCTACTCATATCATTGGGGGGAAATTCAACTAACTGTCCTTAATCACCTAAACGAAATAGGGTTAACCTAACTCATAAATTTGATTTACTGGTAGTCTTGGAAACCTACTCACTCACGAAGATAGTTTCATTGGTCTTAGTTTGACGATAGGATAACGAGGAGAACCATTTATGGAAGTGAATTTACAATTTTCGAGTTTATACTTTGCATAGCTTATGGAATAAAATCTCAAGATTGACTATTTAGAGAAACTTTGTGATCACTCTAGAAAATATCCCTTAAGTATTAAGGAGATCATAAAAACTATGAAAAGGCTTTTTCATGAGCCCTCAATATATTTTGAAACGAAGAAAATTTACAGTTTTTACTCTCCTAACGTACACATCTCATCCGTTTAAATAATTCAAAGAATTTCAATCCGTGCAGTTATCAAACCTAATCAAATAAGTCTTTATGACGATCTTTTTTTACTTGTAACTCCATAGTCGTCTCTACGACTGGCCATGACACCAAAAATACAATTGGTCATCACATCAGGCGATTTATCCCTTGGCATATGCCGTATCAAAGTCTCCTTGCCCCTTTAGTTATGATGATCCCCTCGCCTTCAAGCCTAGTAGCTATGCCTTAACACCGTTTCCACCTCTTTTCATCTGTTCTACATCGTCCTTCTCCAGGTCCTACTTGTCTGGCAGTGTAGCCAACTACCACCCCCTGAACAGGATCTAGCTTGCCTCTTCCTGCCAAACGTGCATACGTTCTTTCCAACCAACCTCTCTGCTCATGATATTTCTGATTCCTATAATCAGGCAAAACTTCGTCTTCAAATTTGCTTCCATCCTTCTCGGCTTCGAGACCCTGCACTTGTAAATACTTCTATCCGGCACCAAGTGAGTTTGATCTTGCCTGCAACCCCGGTCAGTTCGGGTCCTGATTTGCAGATCACTCGTGCCTCGGTTGGCTTGCGTTTCCTACCGGTTCGTGTAATTCCCACGCTTGCTGTAGTCAGCATCGAATTGGACGCTGTAAACGTTTCTGCAGATCTGGTAAAATATTATTGTTGCTTAGCTCAATTCCATTTCAAGTGAAAGTGTTTAGTGAAGAGATTCGAAGGTCGATCTTACCAGGAGACGACGGGGGATTCCTCTTGACAAGCTGTCAATTGGCGCTACTGGAACATTCTTTTTGCTGCTGTTTCCGAGTTAATCTTCGATCCCGGTGAAAAAGTACTAAGCTCTCATCTGCTGTATGATAAACATCATCAGAGCAGGGTATCATCATTACAACCAAATTCAAGCTAAAGGATCAAGATAATTCACCGACTCATCCCTAAAAAGCTGTATATATACTCTAATTCTGACCTTTTTGATGAGATATAAAGTGATTTGGTTAGTTCGAGTCATGTGTAAACCTCGAAGTATGACAGTGTGTCTATCGCTGTATATGTATGTGTCTGTAGGTGTTTGCATATGTACGAAACCAGCAGTGATGGCTCGAAGTAATTAGGGCAGCAAAAGTAACGTCTGTTATTGACATAACTTAAGAAAGTGTCGTAGTTTCCCCAAAAATTGTTTTATTCCCCACTTCCTTACTTGCTCGCCTATCTTTTTAGAGAAAAAGCATAAGGGCAAAGCCAAGGCATGTGAAAAAATATCCTTATCTCTCTTTACGTAATCACCATTCAAAAAGAAGTTAATTTTGCTGTCCTTATTTCTTTGAGTCATTACTGCTGGTCTCGTAAATATGCGAACACCTACAGACGCATACATATACAGAGACAGGCACACCTGCATGCTTCGAGGTTTACATATGACTGGAACTGACCAAATAACTTTATACTTCATCATAGAGGTCAGACTTAGAGTATATATATATAGCTTTTTAGGGATGAGCCGGTGAATTTTATTGATTCGTTAGCTTGAATTTGGTTGTAAGGATGATACCCTACACTGATGATATTTTTCATACGAAGGACGAGAACTTAGCATTTTTCACCGGAATTTAAAAAGATTACCTCGGAAACAGTGTCAGCAAGAATGTTCCAGTAAACTCAATCGACAGCTGGTCAAGGGGGATCCGCCATCGTCTTCTGGTGAGATCGGCCTTTGAATCTCTTCCCTAAACACTTTCACTCGAAATGAATGTAGGCTCAACAATTATGAAACAAGAGTTTCCTCTAAAATCAACTTTTCCTCGGATATTATTGTTGCGTCTTAACCACTGATGAGTTCCATTTCTTAGCATTTAAAGTTATTAAGTTCTCTTAATGTAACTTATGTTATAGCTAAGTGTTAGTATATGCAGTGTTTCCTAAGAATTGCCTTTATGATAGTTGTGACGGGTTTCATAATAACGCTTCAATAATGTACCTCGTCCATTAAAAAAAGCACTTTTGATTATCTATACAAAGTTTATAGCTCAAGATAAATCGCAAAAGGCTTTCATTTCCTTGGAAGTCTTTTCCGTCATGTTTTGGAGTACACTTTTTGCCTTTATCTACACACTTCCACTGTTTGGATCCCACAAGAGTGCCGATGAGGAGGTTCAGCAAAGCCAAAACTTTAGTCTGTATTATAAAGCTCATTTCGGATGCATAGTCTTCAATTCAATTTATTTTTAATAGTTTAATCTTCTCTGCCTTTTGTAATAAGCATACAAACAACCTGACTACTTACGACTCGGTATCAAATCCCGTTTTAAATGCGGATTATGCCTAGACGAGTTCAAACTACAGTAAACTCTGGATGAGGTAGCCTTTTGCCAGGTAAGGCTAAGCCAAATTCAATGGCATCGTGAGACCGAATCACCTCGTTTTTAAAGCTTCAGCTCTCAGTCCTTAAATCACCTTAAGCAATCTAGGTTACTTAAGTTCTTATTCAACAATGACTTATAGTCTTGCAAACTACTTATATTGAAAATCTTACTAATATTTGATCAAATCTACATCTTCTTGTTCTCGCGGTAAGGCTTATACATGTCACGCGTATATTAACATAATCTCATTGGTATTTCCTAATGTATATTCACAAATTCCTGAAGTTCATCGCTGAGATATTTGTTCCTGTCCAGGCTAACATATAAAGACGATTCCTTTTAATTCTCTGATGGCGATAGCCCGCAAAAGCCGTGTTTACACTTGTATGCTCTATCTGATTACAAGTTCAACTGGTAACGCTCTTATCTGTTTGACGAAATTGAAATTCCATTCCGCGTCTGATTGGTGACAATTCTTTGGATATATGATACAATTGCTTGGTTCAAAAGCTCAAGTCCACTTCGAATTAGCACTATTAACTTACATCATTCGGGTTTATTGACTTTTTAATAATATTATTTCGAATATAAGATTTGTATTCATTGTATTTCGTTTAAAGTGAGGAAGGACTGGTAATTGAATTTTCCCACAATGCTCTGAGTAGGCCTCATTCTTCCATTGGATTTCGCATAGACTTGCTTCCAAAAAGGTATTCTTATGCATGGTCGACTGCAGGGGACTGTAAGGACACTCTTGGAATTCCATGGGTCACATGACCAAAGTGAAATTTAAGGAAGCTTAGGACTTTTCCCTTCTGTGGTGATATTATCGACGAATAAAAGTTGTAGTTGTCATTGCAATCGACTATATACTTATTTTTCGTTTCATGAGTAGGTTTTTGAGACTACTAATAGATCTTTTATATGAACTGTATTCATCATATTTCGTTTAAAGTGATGAATGGCCTTTTGGAAGCAAGGATGTGTGAAATTCAATGGAATAATGAGGCATAATCGTATCATTGTGGGAAAGTTCATTATCAGTCCTTCATAATCTTAAACAAAATATGTTCAATACAGCACGTATATCAAGTCTATTGTTAGTCTTGAAGATATATTTATGAAACGAACAATTATTTTGAATTGTTTAAATAAACAATCTTTTTTTAATTATATTATATTG